AGTAATAGAGGTACAGGTAGTAATAGAGGTACAGGTAGTAATAGAGGTACAGGTAGTAATAGAGGTACAGGTAGTAATAGAGGTACAGGTAGTAATAGAGGTACAGGTAGTAATAGAGGTACAGGTAGTAATACAGGTACAGGTAGAATACAGGCACAGGTAGTAATACAGGTACAGGTGTTAAACTGTCACGTCATCCCAGAAACAAGAACGCAAAGATTGATTCATATATAACACAGAGAATTTAAAAAAAACATAATAAAGTCGACTTAGGTATCCGGATTCAGGATTCAAAAACGTAAACAAATCATATGCATATAAACATTAAAATCGTGTTACCAGAACCGTAAAATAAATCGGCTTACTCAAATACGGATTTTGAATTAAAAAAACGTAAGCAAATTCTCTAAGGCTCTAAGCTGTTATCGACCATGTTATCATCAGTGTTATAAGTAAGTAATATAACCTTAGAGAGGGATAATTTATGCTCCTCACTATAACATGATCACTTAATTTATGCTCCTCACTGTAACATAATCACTTAATTTATGCTCCTCACCATGACATACTCGCTTAATTTATGCTCCTCACTATAACATAATCACTTAATTAATGCACCTCACTATAACATAATCACTTAATTTATGCCCCTCACTATAACATAATCACTTAATTAATGCACCTCACTATAACATAATCACTTAATTTATGCTCCTCACTATAACATAATCACTTAATTTATGCCCCTCACTATAATACAATCACTTAATTAATGCACCTCACTATAACATAATCACTTAATTTATGCTCCTCACTATAACATAATCACTTAATTTATGCCCCTCACTATAACATAATCACTTAATTTATGCCCCTCACTATAACATAATCACTTTACCATCAGTTTGTTTATCTGTCTCGAGTTTCTATCTTGTTATTCGTGTATTCATTAAATCGTATTCGAATCTAATGCTTTGATGGTCAACCAGAGGAACGAGCTGTAATACCTGTCCAATTTACGGGATCGACAGACTTCAAAACAAGTGATTTGATGTCGTAAGCTCAGGGTTTTTTTTTTCTAGGCGTTATTATAGGGGACAAAAATACACAGATAAGTTTTCCTAATGTGTGCCCTGGCTGGTGTTATAAGTCGGTGACGGAAATAACAGACAGACAGATAGACAGACAGACAGACAGACAGACAGACAAATATATCGAGAGGGTCTTTTACTGGATATGATAGAAAGAATAACTAAGGTAGCGTCACGTCTCTCAGTCTGTTCTTGTACATTGATTACAAATAATTTAAAATGTTTCTTTTTGTTTACAAGTGATTCAATAACATCTCCCGGAGACGCGCCCAAAATTCATCACTCGATAATTAATTTATTTTCTCTCTCTCTCTCTCTCTCACACCGATACAATACCCTGTCTACCTCCTCATCTGACTGACTGGTTAACTGACTGACTGGCTAACCTCTGGACAGATATAATAAAGGTATTTCTAAACAGTTTAGTCCACAGTTGAAGCATTTAGACAGATCTTAGCTGTAAAAAAAAAAAAAGCTTTATCATAAATAATTTTAAGTCCACCTAACGTAAACAGTGTGTGTGTGTGTCGGGGATGCAGTTAGTAAATGAGCTTAACACCAGATGGACGCCATGGTCTCTTATCGCGTCACACTTGTTGTTGTCCGCCGCTGCTGCCTTACGTGGAACAACCAACAACTCCGCCGCCTTTTCACTTTATAATTTCGTCAAGGCTGGGGATCACCACACTGAGTATATTACCAAGCGGATTATTAGAAGCCCGGGAAGGAAGGGAGGAAGGCTGTCATAACATAGTAGGAGATACAATAAATGACAGGAGATGAATAAAACGTGAAATGAAAGTGTAGGACGATATGAATGTCGCTGGCAAAAACTATACAAACTTATATACGGGCTCCTGAATATTATCTTATCCACCTTAATTCACCTGATGATTACACTCTCTTAATATTAATTTAGCCTATATTTAGGTAACGTAAAGGTGTTTAATCATCAGGTGAATAAGGTGCAGTCAGGTGAAATAAGGTGCAGGGTGTAAATAATCACGTGATCTAAACTGTTTATACCATAGCAAACTCTTCTCTGAGATTTGATTAAGGATACTTTTACTTTTTAACTCCACTATACTGTTTACACACACACACACACACACACACACACACACACACACACACACACACACAATAAAGAAGAAGAACAACACTTACTTTTATTAGGAGGTGATGTGATGTAATCGTCACACCCACCGCCTGTGTTTTGATGAGGATGGGCGTAGGTGAGAGCAACACACGCCCACACAGCCACCATCACCAGCACCCACGACGCCCACACCACCCAACCGCTCTGCCTAACCACTCCATGTTGTCTTCTGTCCAGGGCGGGTCTTCCTATGGCTCCAGGATGGCATGGTGACGCCCTACACCAGCGGGTCACCTCACACTGCGAGTCCTCCTCCACCTCTTGAGTTCCTTGTTGACATCCATTCACTACCATTGAGGTTTTCTCCCTGGTGGCGAGCTGGTGATTCATACACAGCCTTTGATCACATGTCTCCATCTTTCTAGTGTTGATCTTAACAAGGTCTATTCCAGGACCTGCTCCAATACGCCAATTATCCTTCATTATCGTAACTTCTCTTGCACTTTTCTGAGCGAGTGCCACAAGTTGTATTTCTCGTCGGGGAAGTCGACCATATTCCCTTGACTGCTGCTCCTCTTCACTCCTTTTCGCTGAACTTTCCCTTCCTGAGTTACACACTGTTGACTGATGGCAAGATCTCCCGCATAATAGGAATCTCTCGGTAGTATCTCTATCCAAGGAAGAGACCTCGGACCTCTTAAATCTATTCTCCTCATAGTGGTTCGGTTCGGGTCTCCGTGCTGGCGGCGTCCTGGGTATTGGAAATAGCGGTAACTGGCGAGGATTCCAATGAGATTTTCTAATACCTCTGCTGGTGTGGTGAGTTGTGGCGGAGCTGTGGGTGTTGTAGCTGCCTGGGGTGCCTGAGTCTTCGGTGTGGCCATCACGAGTGTTGAGAATATTGCTTCTTGCTGGTAACTTATAACTGACATCAAGTTCAGTTTTTTGTAAAAAAAATTCTCGATTCTGAGTCTCTGCTGAATAGATCAATGTCATTTGGGTTTTAAAGTTATCTGGTGGAATGTGGCTGACCTGACCGCCGGTGACGGCTGGAGGGACAGAACTGACTTGTTTTTTAATGACTAACTGTGAAAAACCAACGACTTCTCTCCGGACGTGTAACATGAGATTATAATTTTGGCGGTCCCTGGTGTCTGATTGGAGGTCACTGATCTGAACTTTAATTCTTAATGGCAGATTGTAAACATTCTTTCTCGGGGGTTTTAGTTGGTGATACCTAACTTGACTAAACTTTTTTAATACGAGTTCACTAATAGATTCTTTCTGGATTATTTCTACAGCTAATACTTCTGTCTGACTACAAGACATTAAAGAGAAAATATAGCTCAATTTATCACAGGATCTCAGTCTAAGTGCACAGCCTGACTCGCCACCGCTACACCTGCTACCAAAACAAACACGGGAGAATTGGTGTTGACGTGGTGTTATGTGAGTGTCTCGTGGGGTCCTCTGTGAACTGGCTACAGTGAGTCTTGACTCCAATATCTGTTGTACTGCCACGTCAGGGTTTGGTCCCATGGATGTAGGAATACGAGTTGCTTGTGGAAAAGTTGGTCTCTGGGAGGAAGACCTTGATCTGTGGGTGTTGGTGGGTGTCGTAAGCCTCGAAAAATGCTGCTGGTGGCGACTGTCTATTGTCCTCGAACAGAGATCTCTGGAGTGAGTGAAGGCACAAAGAGGAAACACGATTGAACGTGGGGGTTGATCAGGTCTCGTGCGATGCTTAATAGTTATATGAGAGGGACTCCATATTACTTTATCTTCACCGAAGGTCTTTCTCGCAGGAGGTTCAGGTGACGACTGACGGCGACCTGCTGAAGGAGGAACGGGACCCAGCTGTTGGTCATAGTTGATCCTCGAGAGAAGGTATTTTCTAAGCCTTGAATCTGTCGCAGCTGGTGGAGATGGACGTGTTGTAACAGCAGTAGGTGGTGGCTCTGTTGCCCCACCAGCTGAAGAGGGAGTGACGGGCGTGTCTTGGTCATTTGAATATTGTGGCTTTTCACGTTTCTCGACTTTTCCTTCTCTAAGAATGACTCCCGACGCTGGCCATTCACTGACAGTAACGAAGACTTCCATGAGGCATTTCTCAATCTGTTGTCGCCACCTCAGTCTTGATTATCACGAGCAATCCACTCTTACAACTTCCTATAGTCTAACACAGCAAAATAACGCTTCTAGGGGTAATTTTCCTATGATCTTAAAACAAAATGCAATGTTCTATTTATTTTTTTAAGTTACCCAAGCATACCGTCAACCTCACGAGGGAAAGCAATCGTCCGGGGGAGAGATAATGGAGACCAGAATCAGGTACTTGTTGGAGACCTCAACACAACACCAGGTAAAAGAGAATCTCTTATCACCAGAGAGTTCCTTCCTTAGGAGAATCCCAAGACGACGTGAGAATCTTTCTACAGAGGCGAATCACCTTAACACAACTGGAGAATCTCTTGAATCAATTTGACTCGTCCAGGTCCACAGCGAACCAACACTTTAAACAATATTTCCTCCAGCAGAATCAGAATTACTATCAGAATCCACGGACACAATAACTCAATCAGACGTAGTATTCTTTAACAGCCACCACAGTCAACACACTATAGCAGTCTTCAGCCAAGAGAAACACAAGGACCTCAACTGACAGTCTTCCGTGCTCTGGGTCAAGGGAATCACGGTGTTGGTAACTACTGTACGTCGGGTGAGGAGGCCGGAGGAGATGCTGGAAGTCTTTTGTTGACAACTTCTTAGAGGAATTGCTTTTGTCTGACGGTAATCTGACCCCTGTCTTTCTGTAAATGAGAAAGATAGAGAGATAGATCAATATATACAGATAGACAGATTAATACCGATAATAATAACGGTATCAACAACAATACAGTAATAATAATAATAATAATAATAATAATAATAATAATAATAATAATAATGATGACCACGTAATTACATGCACTAAACGTCACTATTTATCTGCCAAAACAACACACATAAATACTGATTTTTTCCACGTTAATATCCTAAATCCTCTCAACCTGTTTTGGGTCGCTGTGATATACCATTCTAGCAGTTACCAGGACTACCTAGCATTTTCTGGTACCACCTAGCACCAGTGTCGCTGAGATATATCGTCCTAGCAGTTACCAGGACCACCTAGCACTGGCGCCTGGTTTCACGTAAGGTCAACCAAAGCCTCCAAGTAAGACCTAATTTGCCTAGTACCGTTCATCATTAACAATACCAGCTAGTACCTCTTAGTACCACCTAGTATCAATGAATACCACCTAGCACAGTTCTGCGTTGGCTGTTTGGGGCAGGTGTGAGTTTACTCCTGCGGGTGCGTTGCGGGTGTGAGTTTACGCATGCGGGTGCGGGAAAGTATGTGGATTTCTGCGGGTCAAGATAAATTATTCCTAACCTAACCAAATGATGTGAGAGTCTTAGTGTAATATTGGCGCCATTTTAAGATTTTTTTTTCTGTAAGTTGATTCCGTGAAATGTTTTAGTCAGACTCAACTAGTGTGTGTGTGTGTGTGTGTGTGTGTGTGTGTGTGTGTGTGTGTGTGTGTGTGTGTACATCACCGAAATAACATAAAGGCGTACACATAGTGAGAAGTAGACCAGCAGTGGCAAGATTACACACACACACACACACACACACACATCTCCCAATGAAGACTCCACATAAATACCAAATTACTTCACAAAATAACTAAAATAAAAATAAATATTAATTAGACAAATAAAATATATTAATCTAACACATAATAATTAACTCTGCTGTACTGTATACTGTAGTTTACCTGGATAAATTCTAAGGCCTTACTTACCTGTATTTCACTTAACCACATCTGCTACATACTTATATACTTGGCTATACTAACTCTGCTCATAGATTTAAGTAATTCATAAGTAGAATAAGTAATGGGAAATTTATAAGTAGCACCGTATTAGTAAGCGTTTAATTCTGATAGTAGGAAAAGTGAATAAAAGTGGTATTCTGAAGTGTTAAGTGGTAAGGGTGTTCTGAAGTGTTAAGTGATAAGGGTATCCTGAAGTGTTAAGTGTTAAGGGTATCCTGAAGTGTTAAGTGTTAAGGGTGTTCTGAAGTGTTAAGTACTAAGGGTGCCCTGAACTGTTAAGTGATAAGGCTATCCTGAAGTGTTAAGTGGCTAAGGGTGTTCTGAAGTGTTAAGTAGTAAGGGTGCCCTGAACTGTTAAGTGATAAGGGCGTTCTGAAGTGTTAAGTGGTGAGGGTGTTCTGAAGTGTTAAGTGGCTAAGGGTGTTCTGAAGTGTTAAGTGGTGAGGGTGTTCTGAAGTGTTAAGTGGTGAGGGTGTTCTGAAGTGTTAAGTGGCTAAGGGTGTTCTGAAGTGTTAAGTGGTGAGGGTGTTCTGAAGTGTAAAGTGGTGAGGGTGTTCTGAAGTGTTAAGTGGTGAGGGTATTCTGAAGTGTTAAGTGGTGAGGGTGTTTGGAAGTGTTAAGTGGTAACCGTGTCCTCAAGTATTAAGTGGTGAGTGAGAAGAAGAGAATATAAGTACTGTATTAAGAAGAGGAAGAAGAAGAAGAAGAAGATCGGTGTTAAGTAATGAGAGAAACAGTCAACAGTCACACTATTCCACCAGTCATCTCAACACCAGTTCATTCCTCCACTCAAACATTAACTAAGAAACATTACCTCCCACTTTAGGTTCTATCATGCAGGGTTCCAGGGCTCCAGGGCTCCAGCGGGTGTCGTTAGCAATAGGCGGAGACGAAACAGAACAGCCTACCACATCACCACCAGAATACAGTGACAACATGACATCTTGGCGTGTTTGGTCGTGATTTTGATTCTCCAAAGCTGATTGAGTGTTTCATTTACCTGGAGTTTTTAAGGCTCAAAGATAATAAGTAACCCTTTAATAACCTCGATATTACGTTGAGGAGTATGACGGCGTGTGATTTGTTATCTTATTGTTATTTATGGTAAAAGTATTCATTTGTATGGGTCATTTGAGATTGAGGAGCTTTGAGTTCTTACAGAGACTTCAAACATTGCGCGCCAAAAATTCGGCTTATGTTGTTTGTTTACAAGTGGATTTCGCGGGAAGGGGATAGGGGATGGGAGGTGTGTGGGGAGGGATGGTATGTTGGTAGGGAGTAGAAGAGGCGGGGTGGGGGGGGGGAGGTATATTTGAGACATTGTGGGCAAATATCCTTACAAATTCATGTGTCCTTGAGAATCTAGCGACTGTTTTAAATGATTTCATCGTATACCCGCGACACACACACACACACACAAGCTAATATCCTTGTAGACAGGTGAGTCAGACAGCTACACCATAAGCCGCTTTAGCTTCGGCATCAACGTTGCCAGCGAACTACGTGGTGGAGGCGGAAATTAATGTCTCTGATGCTGAAACGTTTGTGTTTGATGAGTGTTAAGTATATGTGTACACGTATGTGGTAGGTGATGGAGGTTAAGAACACACACACACACACACACCTGTGACGACATTCACGTGTGATGGCTTACTGTAGCTATGAGAGATAGAAGTCTTGGCCTGTCTTCACCAGAAACAGGTGTGACTCAACCTTTCACCAGTAACAAACGTGAGTTACTTTCACCTATTGAACGAGGGTCTCTCTGTACATTTAATAACATGGTTCACTACCTAACCTTACCCCTCCCCCATCCCTCCAAGTAACGTTAGGGCAGCTGAGGGGGATGTCTAATCTTTAGGTGATTCCAAGTTTCGCCTCTTTGACACGGTTTAGTTTAGTGTTTACTTATTTATGAAGAATCTGTGTGTGTGTGTGTGTGTGTGTGTGTGTGTGTGTGTGTGTGGTGTGTGTGTCATATAAGAATGTGCACCATTAACACACACAAAAAAAGACCGCGCCAGTATAAGCAGTCACCAGCGCCACCGCAAGCGATCAAAGTGAGCCTGGCATCTCTTCCTATATCATGTAAACCACCAGCAAGGTTATATAGGCTTATGAAAATACTCACATGCAGGTGTGTAAATGGGTCAGGTGTCGAGGTGTGAGAGGGTTTGTTTATTGAATTTGTTAAGGACTGGTGAAAATTAATTATCATTTTCCAGTACTTAAACACGTACGAACATCAAGGACTGAAGAAAAGATTAGTCATTATAACCAAGTACTTGATCACGTACCAACAACAAGGACTGAAGAAAAGATTAATCATCATAACCAAGTACTTGATCACGTACCAACAACAAGGACTGAAGAAAAGATTAATCATCATAACCAAATACTTGATCACGTACCAACAACAAGGACTGAAGAAAAGATTAATCATCATAACCAAGTACTTGATCACGTACCAACAACAAGGACTGAAGAAAAGATTAATCATCATAACCAAGTACTTGATCACGTACCAACAACCTCTCACTACTCAAGAATCACGTACATTGTTTTTTATCTCCTTGAAAGCTTAATCATTCATAACTCCAAGTCTCGTAAAACAGACTTAAATGCAACGTCGCCTGATCCACTTTACGACAATACCTGCAGGCCTTTACGCTTACCTTGCCAACAGTCGCGGGACTCTATCACTTAAGCACTCCCTTATACTCTTACGTTAGGTATTCTCAAGGGGAAACTATCAAGCACGAGCCAGCGAAACAGAGAATGGGAAGAAATTATGTGTTTGGTGTGTGTGTGTGTGTGTGTGTTTTTGGTGTGTGTGTGTGTTTTTGGTTTGTGTGTGTGTGTGTGTGTCTAAGTTTCAAAGTCACTTCAGGTAAAATAAGTGTGTTTCAGGTGAGATAATCGTGTTTCAGGTGAGATAATTGTGTTTCAGGTGAGATAATCGTGTTTCAGGTGAGATAATTGTGTTTCAGGTAAGATAATTGTGTTTCAGGTGAGATAATCGTGTTTCAGGTAAGATAATTGTGTTTCAGGTGAGATGATCGTGTTTCAGGTGAGATAATTGTGTTTCAGGTGAGAGGCAGCCAGGTTTGTTACCAAGCCTGGCACGACTCGACCTCTCCCGTCTACTCGTCTGTCGTCTGGTTTGTGACAGAGTGCTATGGGGTGGTGCTGTGTTGCTGTTGCTGTGATGCTATGTTACTGGGTTTCTGTGATCCTATGTTGCTGAAGTTAACTTAGATTAGGCTCAGTTTGGTTAAGTTACGTTAGGTTAAGTTAACTAAGATTACGCTACGTTTAGTTAGGTTAGGTTATCATTACCATGGGTATTGATATCTTCCTTTTATTCACATATAACAATAAAGAGAGTTTCTGAAAAGGATCGAACCAAGGCTGTTTTTCCTGACAGCTTAAGGTAGGCTAGCTGGCAGGTACAATCCCCTTCACTAGTGCGTTTACAGGGGTCATCAGGTTTGGTGTGATGTGGCAGCCCTGTGTTTGTTTACATTCGACAGAAGGAAACTCGCAAAAATAAACGAACCATGGAGTCAAATTAAAACAATATTAAAATAGATATCTCAATATAATAATTTGTGGAATGTTTATATGACGAGCCCCTGTAAACGCATAAGTGAAGGGGACTGTTCAAGACCAAGACCATCCCAGTTTAGCTTCAGAGCAAGATTTTACACTGAACCTACCTACCTACACCTCTTACTGTCCTTCACCTATGGTATCGAAAACTCATGACACCAAACCATCTCACTAAGTGTTTTATTACATCTTATACTTAATAACAGCACGCGTTATAATTACCTTTAAAGGAGCATTAACATGATCTTTGAATCCTGTTATCACTCAAGGCTTTACACCTGAATGAAGAACAACTGATATACTGGGACTTAACATCACTC